AAATATTTAAATCGGCCGCTTCTACTAAAATTTGGCTAAAACCAATTTAAAATACCCCTAGGCCAGTCCTGCCCGCTGAAACAACCAGGTCTTAAGGGCGCGGCGGAAGGAGGGGAGATCCGGAATCACCCGGATCTCTGGGGGCAGCTCGTTCCAGAGGGTGGGTGCTCCGACAGAGAAGGCCCTTGCCCTGGGGGTCACCAGCCGACACTGTCTGGCTGACGGCACCCTGATGAGGGCCTCTCTGTGGGAGCGTATTGGCCGGTGGGAGGCAATCTGTGGCAGAAGGCGGTCTCGGATATAACCAGGTCCAATGCCATGGCACACTTTAAAGATGATAATCAACACCTTGAAGCGCACTCGGAAGGCCACAGGCAGCCAGTGCAGCTCGCGCAGTAGCGGCGTTACGTGGGAGCAACGGGTCGCTCCCATCACCGCTCGCGCGGCCGCATTCTGGACTAACTGGAGCCTCCGAGTGCTCCTCAAGGATATTTGGTATTACAAATAAAAGACTTTGCATGTATTCCTGTAGTGTGGTTTAAAAATGAAAATATAAATCTTATAAACCTGATGTTCTCATAATAAATCTATTTGTGAAACTCACTCCCAAAATGATGGCTTTTAACCAGTAGGAAAGAACTGGATGATTGAAATACTGCCATAATAATTCAATGAGTAAAACAAACTGGGTTTAACAATCCATACATCCTTATAACAACATATCAATATAAGATATTTCATAGATATATAGCCCTTCTTTTTTGAGTAGCCTGGTCTCGATCTTGTATATTCGTAATATTGTGCACAAACATTTGCTTCAATTTACTATTACTACTACTACTACTACTACTACTACTACTACTACTACTACTACTACCACTACCACTACCACTACCACTACTACTACTACTACTACTACTACTACTACTACTAATAATAATAATAATAATAATAATAATAATAATAATAATAATAAAGTAAGACTCTTAAAAATAAGACCCTACCTCAACCGAGGGGTATGTTGTAATTTCTCTGCCATCAGGGGAATAATGAGTCTTGCTGTAATCTTTTGAAAAAAGTCCTCTGCAAAGAAGAGAATATCTACGTCAGGAATTAAGTAGGACTGAGATAATTTTATAATAAGTTTACAACTACTGTATAGTGGAAATGTAAGCATCTTGTTTGGTATCAAAAGAATGGAGCAGGTATTTCAATCCCATGGCTATTTAAGAGGAGGGCTGTGCATACTAGATTCACCCGAGGATAGAGATTTACACCAAGGAAGCTGTGCAATTCTCTTCATCAAGGCTCAGAAGAGTATGATTGACCAGGAGAAGACATTTTCTATTGCGTCTTCTTTTTATTCTTCTGGTCTATGCAACAATCTGATGAATCTGCTTGGTCTATAAAGGAGAGCAGTATAGCTCTATTTACTAAAGAGTAAAATGAAGCAACCTCAAGGAAATGGATGCCTTCAACCTTTATACAGAAGCATCTCTCTTGAAGCTTTAAACCAATGTATGGAGTCACTTTCCATTCCTGGTGTCTCATCTATTCACTTGGCATTGCCTTCTATTTTGCCAATCTAGATATTCCTTGCTAGTCTTCCCTCTCTAGTCCTGCTTTGTTTCCATGCCAAAACAAGACCATCCAGATGCTAACTTGAAATTCCGTGCAGCCTTCCTATTTAAACAAAACAAAAGGGGACACTAGAACTTCTAAAGCACACATTAGAATTCAGCATGAAATGTCTCCAGTGGGATAAATTGGCACACAGATAACCACATATAGCGCAATTTCTTTGTAGCTTATACCTCACTGGAGGTTTTCAGGGAATGATTGGTCAGCTATGGAATGGTATAGTCTCCTGCTTGATCAGAGGGGTGGACTAGAAGACCTCCAAGGTCCCTTCCAACTATGTTTTTCTTTTTTCTGAAAAATAGTTTCATTCCATTTCTGTGGCTTATATTTGCATAATATTTTATATCATAAAATATAATAATATTAAAATATTATTATAATATAATATAAAAATATTATATTTTCATATCTTGATTTACATGTCAAATGGAACACCATTGAGAAGACCCACATGGCATTCTTTAAAAAAATATAGGGAAATCTAGGCTTGTTTCGGTCATGTCTCCTTTTGGTCCTTAATAGGAGATGACATTTCCTGCCTTTCCTGCTTTAACATATAAATTCTGATGTAAGTTGAACAGCTATGCAGGTCTCATAGGAAACATTATTCAGATTGATGGAGTATTTGTGAAGCAGCATAAGCAATCATTTTTAAATCTTTGCAATATTTCATAACTAACCTAGTTAATTCAAGTGATAGAAGGTTATGAGCCTTGAATGGTTCAATTTTGTCTAAAATTGTTATGGTCCAGCAGTGTACCACAGGAGAGCAGGAATAAAAAAACTCAGTTCTGAGGTAAGATATAATTAACATACTCAATATCTATATCCACTTTTCCTACACAGTAACATTTAATTTAGTTTTAATTTCCAAAGAAAGGAATGCAATTATTATTTCTCTTAGATTGTGTCCAGGAATATACATTTTCCACATTGTCCAAATGAAGTTAAGAAAAATAGTCTGAGTTAACATACTTATTTTTTTCCAGGTGAAGGACCACTGGCTCTCCATTCACCTTAAATTCATATTGCATGGCGTCTTCATACTGAAATGCAATTCAATTCAATTCAATTCAAATTTAATTTATATACCGCCCTTCTCCCATAGGACTCAGGGCGGTTCACAGCATATTTAAAAAACAGATACTATACACAATATACAAAAAATACAAAAATACAACAATATAAACCCCAATAAAAACCGAATTAAAAACCAAATATTGACGGCTGTGTTTCCAATTAAAATTGCTTCT